ATATATATATTTATATTGGTTTTTAATACAAAACTCCACCTTTGTCATCCTTGAGATGCACACCAGTGATTTTGTCTAGCCTGAGATGAAATTATTAGTCTTCTGAAGGCAGGAGGAAGCATTTCCTCAGTCTTCTATCTCCCAATGATCAGACTGTACACTGTAAGTGTGTAGCAAGTCACAAGGTGAGAGGCTGCAGCTAGTGCTGATCTGTGTCAGACATTTGTGAACACAGTCAAGAACTGCGCAGGCACCAGGATTTATATGATTGTGTCATCTCTGAGCAGGTATTACAGTCCAGGAAGTAGATGGTGACCTTGAATGATGCCTGAACAAAGATGTCTCCATCATTCTGCAGATCAAAGCAGATGAAGGCATTGTCAGGGGGAGTACTGTAATCTCTGTGAGGGGTAATGAAGTCAGCACAAAACTAGTATTTCATGATGCCAAAACCACCTGACACTTTATTCTACCACTTGAGGAATATCATATACTGTATATCTATAGGAAGCGCTTTTTTGACCTCACGGAGCAGTGGTGAAGGAGCGACGCGTTTTGAGGAGATCCTCTTTCTCAAGCTTACCTTTCCTTTTGAGCTTGAGAAAGAGGATCTCCTCGAAAACGCGTCGCTCCTTCACCACTGCTCCGTGCACGTCCTTCCCCATCCTTCTGTCACTTTCACTCCATCACGTCCCAAAACACCGCGATCAAGACCAGAGGCAGCCTCTCCACTAGCCCTCCGGCACACACAGCACTCAGTTCAAATTGGTTCTTCATTTCATCTTTCCACTCCCGGATTCACCTTCATACCTGATGGCACCAATTTCAGCCATCACGGCCAAATCCTAGGACCTGGTTTGTTTTGCCTCCAAGCCATCATCTGGAGACCACCATACACCGAATACGTCTTGCATCGCTAGAACCCCATTGGGGCCCTCCTTGCCAGGACCCTCGGCTCCTCAAGTAAGTCCCCATTTTTTGTTAATTCTTTCTACCTGTATCCCATAGACACTGGTTGTCCCTACACCATTCACACTCCCAGGATTTGCGCTCTTATTGCTTCACTTCAATAGTTGGGAGTGCAGGACTTGCACCTTTGCAGCTTATTGGAGAGATCTCTTCGCTGAGTTCTATGGTCTACACACCTACTCTGCCCACTATGAGGGGCTCCCACCATCCTTGTCCTGAGTTCCTGGGTCTGTTCACCTGCTGTGCCCATTATGAGGGGCTCCCACCATCCCTGTGCTGAGTTCCCAGGTCTGTACACCTGCTGTGTCCATTATGAGGATATCCCACCATCCCTGTGCTTAGTTCCCAGGTCTGTACACCAGCTGTGCCCTTTATGAGGAGCTCCCACCATCCCTGTGCTGAGTTCCTAAGTCTGCACACCTGCTGTGACCATTATGGAGAGCTCCTACCATCCCTGGGACGAGTTCCCAGGTCTGTACACCTGCTGTGCCCATTATAAGGGGCTCCCACCATCTCTGCATGGAGTTCCTGGGTCTGCATACCTGCTGTGCTCATAATGGGGGGTTCCGACCAAGCATGTGCTGAGTTCCCGGGTCTGTACACCTGCTGTGCCCATTATGAGGGGCTCCCTCCATCCTTGCACTGAGTTCATGGGTCAGCACACCTGCTGTGTCCATTATGAGGGACTCACATCATGTCTGCACTGAGTTCCCGGGTCTGCACACCTGCTTTGCCCAATATGAGGCCCTCCCACCATCCCTTTTGGATTTTTATTTTATATTAAGGGGAATGTATCAGGAGGAGCTGAAAAGCAAAAAGATGGGCAGAAGCACCCAAAACTCCCAGGAGTCAGGAATTATAGCTAGGTGGTCTTACTATTGTAGTATTCACCCAGACAGCAAGGCTAACTTGCCACAAACTTGTGTCAGGGTTAAATTGTAATTCTTGTTAAAGGAGAACTATGAGAGGACAGCACTTTTGCAAAGCACGTTGACCTGGAGACTTGCAATGCAGACTTGCTGTAATTGTGCAACACAATTGTGAAGCTTGGCAAGTCTAGCAATAGTTTAGCAAGTCATTTTCAAACTTGCAGCTCAATTGCTTGCTATCTGGGCAGGTTATGTACGAAGCCAGGGGCTGACCCACTAACAGGTCTATTCACAAAAGGGTGAAGAGTTTGGGGAAGACAGGAGAAGTGAACAATCTAGGGCAAAATAGCCGATTTGGAAAAAATCTCCAATTCAGCTCACTTTCCAGTTCAGCTATGTTGTCCTAGATTGTTTCCTTCCCCTGCCTTCTCCAAACTCTTCACCCTTTTGTGAATATACCCCTAAGTGTTCTTTATAAAACATGACTTTTAGGTGGAAGGATCCCTTCAAATCATCACTCTTGAAGAGCCCTTTTCCTGCTACTTACTGTACCATCCAAATAAAAAAGGAACAGTTGGGTAATGGAAAATAGCGGCTTTTTGGGTGTCACTCCAGGAGTACAGCAAATGCACAGATTCGAATTTTCTATGTTTGCTCAGTTCCCAGAAATCATCTCGCACAGGTTTTTTCTCAGATCCAGAAGATGAACTCATTTGTGATGTATAATTACCTGCCCATTCATGTATGATACATAAGACAAATTCTATATCCACTCATTAGATACAAGACAGTGGCCTCTAAGTCATGCGGATGACTGGGTGATACATAGCCTATGAAATATTGAAATCGTTTTCCCGTACATTAGAAAACATAGTCTGCTGATCAGATTTTTAAAAAAAAATCATTGGTAA